AAACTCAGTTGTGTTTCCCACCCTGGGACTGTCGTTGTAGATGAAAAACTCTAAAGAACATGGGAATGGTCACCCTGATCCTCATGAACCATAAGTAATCTCAAATGCCTGGATGAAGGCAATGGAGTTGGGGTGAAGCTGAGAGGGTGCTAGGTTCAAGTGATTGAACACCCCCATCTGGAAATTATTGAAGGGAAGGTGAAGCCCCAACTCTTTGAATACAACCTCGTACATGGGGAAGCGGTCTTCCTCAAACTCCGAGCATATTTAAGCGGTGGGCGTCGGTCGCAAGATCTTGAAGTTCCTTTGGAAACCTTCCTGATTGCTGCCATAATCGATGGTAGTGTAAGCCTGCCTCCTACTATAACTGTATATTGAGGCTATTCCTAGAGGCTCTGCCCCGACCCAAACCAATGCAGGATCATCGACCGTGTCAACCAAGTTGACACCCTCCTCGGCTACGCTGGTCTCTTCGACGTCCATGTGCTCGGAAGATTCAGGAGTATCGACCAGTTTACCTATAAAGCAGAGGAAACTGGTGAATTTGACAGCAAATCCAAATCCATCCCTCCACGATGTAGGTGAAAAGGTTATGTGACACCCAGACCAAGTCGGCAGTCACTCGGGCAGAAAGGGGAATACACGAACCTCGATCAGGGCATGAAAATCATGCCAATCTTATAAGACCACACAGCGGTTATAACGACGAACGCTTGTTTTCATGAACACCCCGGGCACATGATGAATACAGCGAGCATATTATGAATTTGTCGGCCAAAGTCATGAATTCTCTGGGGATTGCATAAATTTCTTATGTAAAATTCATGAATTTCGCGGGGACGTATGGAGACCACAAGGTAAATTCATCTAAGTGTCAGTGAAAAGATGAATATCAAGGGCTCAAACACAAAAAGCACGCATGAATACCCCGAGCAAAACCCCCCAGTTGCAAAATTCTACAACTTAAACATCATCAAAGCCAATCTAAACAAGATTATCATGAAAAATAATTACTTAGATAAGAATAGATGAGGAATAACGAGGGTAGATGAAGAACACGCGGAAGATTCTGCAGCGGTGTTAGCGATTGAAGAAAACGACACGGTGTTGGAAATAGGGAGAGTGAAGAGCGCGAGAATGTAAATGTGAATAATGGGCCTTGGGGCGCTATATATAGAGCTGACGTAGAATGCGAAACATCGCGTCGAGAAGCTCACCAACCGCCTTTCTCCTCGACATCTACGCGCTCAGTTAATGATGGCCCCTATTCCCTAGGCCATCATTACAATCCCAAAGGTCACACCACGTGTTTACACCCCACAGGCTTTCGTCTCCCCACGAGTCGAGGAACAACTAGAATGATTCCATATCGACCCTATTTCACACTCTGCTCGAGTAAGCCCACGTATCGGCGACCTTCTCCGTCAACACAAGGAAAGACCCTCGTTGAGTGACGAACCTCGTAAGAGAAAAAGCTAGACTTATGTCATAACTCCTTCATCAGGAGCAACAACTTGGGGGGATCCTGTTTTGGACTGAGCTTTTCCTTGACCCAACTCCATGTGAGGCCCAACCCAATTATGTCGGTCAAGGCATGCTGACCAATTGTGCCTTCGACTGTGTCGGGCAGCAACTTCCACTCTCTGCGAGGAGGTAGCTTTACCAAGCGGGGATAAACCCAGTTAGTCTTAGGAAGATCATTGTCGGTCAGGAGGACCCCGAGGTCACCCTCCAATCCTCTCCTCTACCAAGACTGATCCTCCCATATGACCTCGCGTCTAGCGGGGAGCATCCACGATGAGCAGAAACATCCCTACGGCCATCCTCCTCGTAGGGCTGACTATCAACGTCTCTGAATATCATGGAGTCTTCGTGGCTCCGAAAAGACCGCGTTCATATCTTCCTGATCGTGCGGAGGAAGTCATCCAGGTGGGGACCACGTGCTGGTCCCCACTACTCACGTAGGACATGGAAGACTCCACTTTGGGCCTGCTTGACCAGTCCAATGAGGAGACCTTGGCTCAACGCTGGGGGCCATAAATACCCTCTCTCTTGAGAGGGTCTGGTATTGAACATTTCTCACTCTCTTACTTGCTTGCACTATTTCGTATCTCATTTTGGCATCAGAGTGTCTTACAGGTATCCCCTCTCCCCCACCTCACTCTCAAGTACTGCTCGAAGTAAGCTGTGACAGTCCATTCTAATCAGGTAGGATCAGATATCACGAGAAACCGAAAAAAAGTGATTTGTTCTTATCTCAATCTAGTTATTGTAAAAAAAGTGGGACAATTTAGAATGTAAGATGCTAAAGCCACCAACACTCCTTTGGATCATCACATAAAGATTTTGATTAAGCAATGTCCTCAAATTGAGGAAGTGAAGAAGATAATGGAGAGTATTCACTATTTCATTGGGATTGGAAGTATTATGCATGACATGGTTTGTAGTAGACCAGACTAGGCATATGTAACAAGCGTAGTAAGTCAGTTTATGGCAAATACCAAAAATCTTTGATATGGATGATGAAGCAGTTGAATGTTTATCTAAAGAGTGATTTATAGTACACAAAAACTCAAGAGAAAAACGCTTGGAGGCTTTTTATAATCGTACTATATAGATGATGTGAATCATAAATACATTACTTGTTTACTTGCGGTGGTAATATCATTTCCTAGAAATATATGAAATAAATCATAACAACAATTTCATTAAATCGTGCATAACTTTTAATACTACATGCAATAAGTCGAGAATGTGTTTCATTGAGGTCTCTAATTCAAGACATATACTACCTCCGTCCTTAAATATAAGACCCTGAAGAGTAAATTGCGGAAATTAAAAAAATTTGTTAGAGTAATAAATTTATTAACTATTTTGTATAATTTTACAAATTTATCCTTAGAAGAGAGAAATAATTAATGTGTATGTAATTATATTTATTACATATTCCAGAAAAATAAATAATATAATTAGAGATGTGTTTAGAAAAAAATAATTAATACAATTTAAAAGTTGAAGAAAGTCATATATAAAGATACTAGTAATAAAGTTGTGATTTATCTACAATAATCATTTATGAAAATAATATTGTATGCTTTGTATTGAAAACATATTTCTCCAAAAAAAAAAAAATTCACTCATGATAATAGTGATATAAACATTTAAAAAAATGTTCGTGAGATCTTGAACAGTTTTTTACAAAATCACTCACAAACATAACTTTGGCCAACTACGATAAACGATTGGACTTCGTCCTCTAAGAGATGATTGTCTAGTTGATGGGAGTAAATAAATGTATTTTAAATCTTACAAAAAATATACTTTTTTTTCACCAGATTTTTTTATTTTAACTGAGGCGTTTCCTTGATAAACTTCCAAAAAAAAATATTATAACTCTTAGTAGTAAATGAAATATTAAAGACTTTTATTGTATATTTATTATTCATTATATATTTTTTTAAATGGTTAAAGGTATTAACAACACTTATTTACATTAGCACACTATAAAAAATAAAAATAAATATTGTTGAGGATTGAATCATATCTTCGACTCCTTTTAATCCAAAAATATCTAAAATATAGTCTAAAGGGGTAAATTATTATACAACTAAGATGATAAGAAACAAAATTTAAAAAACAATTTTTAATAAAGAATATTGCATATTAGTTTTAAGTACTAAATAGTTACAGAAAGTAAGGTTAAAAATGGGACATGCCCTAAAACTAAAACTATTTTAATGAGTGGAGTGAAATGGAATTAAACAATGCAAAATGTAGATTTCATTCTATACATGAGAAATTATTCACTCTATCCAAATCAGATGTGAGGAAATACGGTGAATCAATATCACTTTATTATGCTATGTTCCTTTTAATTTTAACTAATTTAAACAATAAAAACCAATTGTATTCCTAAAACGGCCTTCAAAGCACAAATTAACAACAAAAAAAACTACTATTGACGGCTCAATAGAGATGACAAACAGACATATCCATCCCAAAAAGACCACAAAAAAATTGGACCAGACAGAACAAGATGCAAACTTAAGATGTTAACCCACCCCGCAAAAATGAAGACAGAACGAGATGCAAACTTAAAATGTTGACCCGTCCCGCAAAAATGAAGGCGCCGGGGCCTGTGGACAGTGTGAATTTTAAGTTTAAAAATTGCAAAAAATTATATCAATGTGCACACAAAATAACAGCAGAGGGGTAAAAATATTAGAGAATGTGGGTCTTTGACCCATCCCGCAAAACAATCGGACAAAACAGATATTCCCAACTAATTAGACACATTTTGACACCCCTACTGATAAGTGACAAAAACACAAGATTTACACGGCTACTCTGATATCAACATCAATTACCTTCAATTTGGAATCATAGTTAGATTTGTTGATCGGGTGTGCTTTTTTTTTTACACTATTCAAGTTTCTGTTTTGTTACTATACTCAATAACATGTAAAATAAAATGATACATATACCAAGACCAGTCCATTGTAATAGATCTAATACATATTCATATTCCAAATAGTCAAACATCAACACTGGGCAGACAAATTTAACATCACATCAAGTGAAACTATAAAAGCAGTAAAATGTATAAATCCATTGAGACCATATCCACAAATTCAACTTAAACATAACAGAAATGAGGCAATAGAATAAAACAATGTAAAAATGGCAGGAGATAGTAATCAGAGACATAGAAAACATTAAGGAAATTTCCAAATACAATTTGTAGTGAGACATTAAAAAGTGACGTCAAGTACCTAAGCACTTGCTCATTGAATTTGAAGCTGAAAGTGAAACTAGGCACTTGCTTCACATGTCTTCATATTTCTTTACAACACGCTCCTACAACAAGTAAAACAGATGTCTATATTGTACTGGTTTGAAAAGCTTTTGATCTTCTGAATGCTGCAATGAGTTGTTATACAAGGAAGAGTCAAATGTGATCCAGGCAGCCTCTTACTTTCTTGAAGGCTTAAACTTCAGCATTATGGCTTGTGAAGTTTGAACCCAAAAACTCTTGGAACATAGCCCTGAGCTGGCTTCTGTGGCTTCAGTTGTCCATAAGTCATCAAGAAAAGGTGTGGAAATGTTGTTCCAAAATAAGCTCCATCAATGTCTAGATAGGGTCAAGGAAACTTTAAAAAAAAAAAACACGTACAGTTTTCAACCAAAAATTCCCAAACACGAATAACAGACAAATGATACTAAGTAACTAAACAAACAAAAGAAAACACGATTTCTGAAATTAACCAAAAAACAAGAAATAGCTAGACTTCTTTGAGTATGACAGAAGAGAGAAAGAGGTCTTCCAAAAATTTTACACTTCCAAAAGTTGGTCACTGTTCAACTACTTTTTATAAGATACGCATGCATCAACAGGAAATACAATAGCAGGTATAGTTTTCTCGAATAAGGAAAAATGACATTGTTTTAAGGTAAAATATCACGAACCCATGAATGCGTGAGGCGCTGTCATTATAGTCCTTGAGAGTATATAAATTGCAAACACATCCTAAAGTATGCCTTTAGTTAGTCATTTTGGTCCTCAAATATATTTTGAATAGTCAATTTAGCTTCTAAAATTACACACAAAGGAGAAACTTAAAGACTATAATGACCAAACCTCACACATTAAGGGAACAAAATTGGTGTTTAGCCCATTGTTTTAATGAAGCCACCAAACACTTCTTAAAGGTTATAAATATCAACCCCATCCACAAAGTGGTTATGCAAAATATTAATTGTATGAATTTTATTTTCTAGTGTTGTCTGCAATAACAAATCGCTCAAGCACAGAAAATATTTTTACCAAAACTTGTCGAGCTTATAGTAGTTCCGACATATGGTTATAACCATGTCCAGAGAGCCGTTTAAAACTCACATAAAAATCATTATTTCTGTCCAGATACTAAATCTAAGCTGGCTGGCACGTGTAAGCTAGAAGTAATTGCTAAAAAACCTAAACCTAAAAGGTTACATCCCTACAAAGTACAAACACTACTTATATAACAGACTACTAAATGAAACTCAAGAGGAAGTAAAAATGAGAGGCCCAAGAGAATAAAAAGAGCTTGAGTGACAGAGTGATATAACTACGCACCAGCTTAAATCAGTGACAAAAAAAAAACTCTAATAAATAAAAGGTCATAAGGATACTGCCTTGATACTTGGACCGAGGATAATAAAGATCTTCACACCTAGGACAATATATTTTCACGGTACTTGACCTCGGAATGTCTGACTGACCAACTGGAAGGCAGGGTTGTCCAGAACAGTAAACTCTTGGGCATCTACCAAAGTCATAGTTTTTGTACTTGTCAAGCTGCAAAAAGTTGCAATGTTATTACTCGTTAACAGTGTCAATTTCCTGAATCATACAGCATGAGAACATCGATAAGTGACAGTGAAATCTTACCATTGCAGCCATTCCTTTGCTTGTCAGTACGTATCGTGCATGAATCATACCATAAAGCATCTCTGCTGCCGATTCAATTAACTCATTTTGTTCCTCTGTGAACATATCACCTAAGAATTCCAATTAAACCATAGAAGCAGTTGTACAATAAAAAAAAAAATGGCCAGAAAGGCAAACAGAGATGCAGCCATACACAATACGAATTCAGTTTCAAAAACACTAATTCTCACACCAATGTAGAAGCAAAGCGAAGTATAAGGAGCAATCCAAACACTACAATTCCATTACAACAAACCTAACAAGATATGAATGTAAACTCACCATGGGAGGATTCAACATCCAAAATCAAATCAAGAGCGTAATCATAGTAAGGCACTTGACTGCTTAACCCACAAAGGTTGAAGTCATCCTGGATGTAATCATCATCAACCTCACAAAAGAACTCATTCCCTCTGAGATTGCAGAACCATGAGATCCAAGATGTGTCATCCCCATCAGAACCACTAACATCCGACTCTTCACTGTCAGTTTCAGATTCCTCTGCAGCCAATGCATATATGTAAAATTAAGTTAGCCCTTGAATGCAAGCCAATCATACAAATTCATATACTAAGTTGGCCCGTGAATGCCGATATCATCTCGTGCAATTGGTCACCCAAACTAATATAATACTCATTAGCCACCATTATTTTGAAAATATTATTTGTTTGAAAGGGAAAAAAAAGTGACATACAGAAACAACCACATAAGAAACACAATAGGATATAAAAGAGATAAATTTGCAAGTATCATATCATATCCAATGATTTCCGTCTAAGCTTTCCATATTAACCTGTTATTTGCATATAAAGTTGTAAAACTTTTTTTGTTGGGGGAGTCAGGAGAGCGCCGAAAGTGTCAATGTGCTAAACGTTCTTGGTTATAAGAGACCTTGACTCCACATATTCACCCAAAGCCATTAGGGATATGGATCATTTCTCTTATAAACCCAACGTTCCCTCCATTTCTAGTCTATGTGAGATTTTAACACTCACGCTTGAAACCCAACAATCTCCTCCACAAGTGTGAGTCACAAACATCACTAGCCTTGATCCACACTAGGATCAACTTCCACTCCTCCACCGAGCCAACCAGACTCTGATACCACTTTTGAGTCATCACGAAGAGCATCCACGTTGGGTCAAGAGCAACACAAAAATGAGAGACACCACATATACCGTAAGATGATAGGTGTGTGGGTCCTCTCACTTATAAAATGCTCAACCTCCACTTTTCCAAGCAATGTGGGACTAACAACTCACAATTGTACACAACGATATCTCCCTCAAGTGTGATTCCATTCACTATGCTCACCCTCAAACGAAGCTCTTTCGTCCACATACTTGCACCGTCGTTGACACACCCTTACTCGTCATGGACACTACAACAGGACACGCCGCTTGACCACCACCATGTCAGGAAGACTTTCAATACAAGGAGTCAAAAGTGTCAATGGGTTAACGTTAATGGTTACAAGAGACCTTAACGCCACATATCCATCCAAAACCTTACGGTATAAGGGATATGGGTCATTTATCTTATAAACCCAAAGTTTTCCTCCATTTCTATTCAAAGTGGGACTTTAACGCTCATCCTTGAAACCCAACACTTTTCTAGTTGGATTCTTTATAGTACATTATAGCAATACCCAAATAATCTACTAGTCTAAAACATGAAATAAACACCTAAATTTGTAAGCTGAATTAAACTACAACTATTTGGATCCCAAATTAATTGTGTTAGGGTAACCAAAAAAATACAAAATGGAACAAAAACAAAAACTTAAAAAAAAAAAAAACCAAATTAGGTCATACAAAAAGAGGGGAAATGGAAATGGTATTTATTAAGCGAAAATTAAGAAATAGAATTTGAAATGGGTACCAGAGATATTGGAAGTTTTGGAGACGGAAGCAGAACGAGGATCCTTGATGGTATTATTGTTGTTGTCTCTGTCTTTGTTGTTTTTGCCATTGATGGGACGAGAAGTAGAAGGAGAGGAACGTTCGAGCTGCTTGTCGAGAACATCGTTGATTCGTTTCCGATCCTCCGATTTGGAGGCAGAAAAGCCTCGTTCTTTGTACATTATTTGAAATTGAAAACCCTAATTTTGGCTTAGGACGATGATGATAACATGTTATGTTATGTTATATGTATCGGTGGGAAAATGGCCTTTCGGCTTATTTGGTTATGGTTGTAGAATTGATAGAGAAAGTGCTAGCTAGGGTTTTTGTTTCAAGGAGGGACCCAACCCGAACAATTGAATTGAACACTCTAATTGATAATAATTCACAACTTAAGCAAAGGTAGTAGGATTGTCACATGTCTCAATCAACTCCACTCGTTCCATGCCATATACTACTTAATAAATATCATCCTTAACTCCCACTAAATAATTCTATTTAAAATCTATCATTTTATTACCCATTTGGCACGATAAGTGTCACGCATAATAAACTTAGGTGGACATTCATGTGTAGCCTACATCACTAACTTAATCGTATTGTCTCATTATTTGTCTCACTTTTTTTCATTTTCTTATCCCCACTAGGAGGATTCAGAATAGGCTAAGCAAATATATGCTTTTTATCTACAACTCTAACATTGCCTTTCATGTAGTTTGTTATAGGTTATTTTTAGGCATGACATTTTTTTTAAGATCGGTTCACTTGTTTTTCTTATTTAAGTTTTTTTATTTAAAAACATATTTTATTAGAACATACGTAAGTAAATCTACTTGTTAAAAGTACGATGAGTGATAATCTTTAATTTTGTAGGATTGTTTAAAATTTTTAAAGTTGATGTACGTATAGAATTTAATTTAAAGATATTGGAAAATTCTTTATCTATGTGATTTTTGAGTGAATTGTACCATCTATTCAACCACGTGGTTGAGGTATTCATAGAAGTTGATTGAGTATGGATTCTTGGATCCAGGGGACGAATATTCTATTATTCTTAGAAGTATGGAGTTGTTATTTTTCCATATTACTCAAGAGAACACGACTTTCCTTATTTGACTGAACTTCCATATTATTAGTGGTCTAGGACGTGTCAATCTCTATTTCGTTAATGGACAACAAGTGGTTTTATCTAAGCCCGTCATAGGACGAGTGATTTGATCAAAGTGTGAATGTTATAAATAATGGGTGAATGATTCGATCAATAGGTGTGTAAAAGGCCTACTTCGAACGATATTTATATCAAGTGTTCTTAGCATTGTCTCTTGTGGATCTTTTATAAATATTTTGGTACAATAAGCAATGCAACTAATATTTAAATATCATATTTCATTTACTTATTTGAATTTATTAAATAGTATAAGTTTTGTCAGACTATTTGTTTGAAAAAACTTATGAAAACAACTTATGTCATTGTTCATAAGGTGCTCTCTTCTTATTTTTATAAGTTCTCCAAGATAAGTAAGATAACTTATGACATTGTTTAATAAAATTATGGCACTTTAAAACAAATGTCAAGACTGATATCTCAACACCAAAACACAATGTTAAGACAAATGTAAGACATCATCTGCTGACAGAAAACTTTTTTCAAAACAATAATTATGCATAAGTAAATTGCAGAAGGTAAAAGACACAATCAATTGTTAACTCAGTTCGGTGCAACTCACCTACTCTGGGGGCATCTAAGTCGGGAAGGAAATCCACAATGATAGTATTAGTTCAAAGTTAAACAATCCTAGTTTACAACTTATCTCCTAATCACTACCTTGTGTTACTTCTACCTAAAAACCTTATATATATGAGATCCCCCTCTCACTTCCCACAATCACCTCAGTGGCAATAACAAAAACTAAATAACACACTTCCAATTACAATACTCAGTCTTTCTTAAAAGCTTTTAACTAAGAACAATAATTTGACACACAATATACTATTTGCTTAAAAGCTCGTGATTGATTGGCAAGTAACAATAAAGAATCAGTCTACCTCAATGTATTAGAAAATACACGGGTGACATACAAAAATAAACAAAGCATCTAAAGTACTCTCAAAATCCTAAACCCTTATTGCAATCACACACGGTTTCTTGATGTGAATTCTTGCTAATTTTAGGTTTAGTAAGTCCTTATATAGAGACTCTTGCAGTATGTGCTTGGAATCTTCAATCAAATCCAATCTTTCAATTGTAAATCAGCTACAAGATCTTCTCCATAGGAACAAATCTTCAAAGTTTCTTAAAAAGCCTCCAAGATCTTTTTTATGAAACCATACCAAAGTTGCATTGTTCCTAATAAAATCTTTTTGACCTGCGAAAATAAGTGAGATATATCCAAGAGGATCTCACAAAAACAAATCAAATATGTCAAGAAAATAACAGCAACACCTATTGTATAATTGGCCGAGATGTCAAGACATTTGACTCAACATCTATTTGAGATTCATGACAACATAACCTGTCATGGTAGTTGGTCAAGATGTCATGACATCTTACTCAACATCAGGTTGTGATACATGTTTTACCAAAATTATTTCCAATCATAAAATCAGAGACCTAACAATCTCCCCCTTTGGTAAATTTTGGCTAAAATAACCTTAGCACAATCAAACTGGAGAAGAGGAATAAAATCACAAATAACATAACACAAGCTACATGAAAAACATGTAACTTTGTACAAACTTCAAATAGAAAACATCAGAGATGAATGCAGCTACAGAGAAACCCAACCTCACACATAACTCTTATTCAAACTCTAGAAGTCATATGTCATGACATGTGATCTGACATCACATCAACACAGCCCAACTACCTCAGCACAACACAACAAGCTCAACATTATAACACAGTACTCAACAACTTTAGTTAGGTTCATTACTCCCATTGTCACACATAAATAATACTCCATCTTAAGGGAACATCCAAACAAACCAAACATGAAATATCAAAGTTTACATTTTAGAGGCACATGCAGCTGAAGAAAAAACAAGCCTAGAAAATATAAAATAGTTGCATAGAGTTTTCCATAAAATACTTCAGGCAAGATGTCAGGATATCTAGTGTGACATCATACACACACATATCAGCAGTAGCAGCTAAAGTAAAATTCCTTAAGTATTAGCAACAAGCATGACAGACAATCATGTTTCCCCTAAATAGTTGCATACATAGCAAGCAACAATAAAAACCACTCTTCTTAAGCAGTAGTACAGTCCTATCATAATATTAATCAACATGTCAAAACATTTGACATGACATTAACATCAGGATAAACAACCTTTCAAACTAATACTTACTAACACTTTACTCCCTCTTTTTAGCCAAAAATTGACAAAAATAGAGTAAATATAAAAAGAATTGGAAGCACACAAGCATACAAGCATAAATATCATATGGAAGCACAAAAGAACAATTGGAAACAAACACTCATTGATGGAAACACACACAACTATTATTTGGTCTTCAGGTGACCTTCCACCTCTTACCCCTGTCAAAGACTCTTCTGCATTCCTTCCTGTTGTCATGTGTTTTAGAAGTGTTGACACTGAACTTCCTTTCCACCGCCTTAGGATATGTCTCCTTCAAAACCAGCCTTTTGTCCTTACAAATATCTTTTGTTCCCTCCTTTGATAGGTTTAACACTAGCAATTAACTTAGGCATATCATGCCTCAGAACATAGAGGAAAGATAAGTATTTGTTGCATTCCTCCACACCTGTAATTACTATAATTTATCAATAGTGTAGGTTCCTAGCTTACTTCTCATATTCTCAAATTGATTTGCATATAATCCTTTGATAAGCATAACAATCAGTTGTTTATCATAATCATCATGCACCACGGTAACAACCTTGCCATCAACTAGATTCTTGATAAGATGATTATGGCTATCAAAGTTCTTGTTCCATATATGTTGAATGAGATACTTAAAAGTACTTATAGTTGCACAATGTAATGTCATAATATCATGTTTGACGTTATCCTTCTTCAACATCTGCTTCATCCATGTTAGTTTATCAACTATTTCTTGTTTCAAAACAATGTTCAACTGCAGGTAACAACCAAGAAGCACATGTTTTCTTCTTAATAAAATAGGAAATCATGTTGTTTTTTAAGAAGAAACATCCATCAAAAGTGCCTTTTATGTAATTTGTGATATTAGAATATACCACACCATAGAAACTTGTACCAATGATATATTTCAAGTTTTCCTTCTCTTGAATAATAGGATTCATCTTAAATTCAAGTTTAGAGACAAAACATGAATTTCATATCTCTTCATTGGTTTCAGTGTTGTTCACTTCTTCAATGTGTCTTGTAATGAGTTTCTTGGATAGTTCTATTTGAATTTTCTCGAAGAGACATTTGTTGATTTGAGAACTAACTGATTCAAAGCTTGCTTCATCAGCCCATTGTTTACCGTGGTTTTTGGTAAACAACAGCTGATCCTCCAAAAAGGAAAGTCCTTTTGGTTACTCGCGGGATCGATCAGATTGATCCTAGAACATATGCTAACTTTTATACTGGGTTGATGTAAAATAAAAAAGAAATCCAGGAAGAACGCTCATTCGACCAAAGACAAGATACTTGTGGTTTTGGAAAGTAAGAAAGTTAATAGAAATGCAGGTAAAGATGCAGGAAAAGTAACTTTGCAAAATAAGATCAAAGAAATGTAAAAAGACTTTATTAATGAAAAGTGGTGTTTCCAACGTACATTTCTCAGTTTATCCTTTCTCACACAGTGGGTACTTGGACAATATTTGAGTAACTAGCACAATAGGTTGAACACCCGGAAAAACTACACAGATTTCCTATTTTATACTAAAAACTATGTAACCGTCGAGGGGTGGTTCTGCTCTAAGATGAGGACAAGTGTCCTCTGCATGTCCCTCGACCTTTAGCTTCCAGCCATGTTGCTTTCCTTTAACTGCTGGCGAAACTGTCTTTCCCTCCAATAATTCAAATTCAAATGTCCCTCGCCTTTGGTGTCGACGCGAAGGTATTTTCTTCTAGTCGAAGGTCATAAGACCTTCTCAGTCTAAATCTTGATAGTGAGTCCTGGTCGAAGACTAATATGTAACTTAGATATTTTCTCTATGTTATTTCACACGTCAAAACATTCTCCAGT